TAGACAAAACCATTCGTGACTAACTAGAGGACAGATTAAGTCAATCTCGAGTCATCTAGATCAAAGTTGATCTAATCAAATTATAGCTAAGTGATGAGGTTAGACTATTCCAGATTAGTCCCCTAGATAACATGTAGTCTGCTGTGTCATCAGTCATGCCGTTGTGGCAGTGAGCATCGCTGACATGGCATCACTATGTCGCATATCCTATGTGGACGAATTGTATCATGCTGTGTCACCATTTACAACAGCCATGACACGTTGATGTGACTATGAATATTACTAACATGGCAACAATCAGTGCTAATGTGGAAGTAACCAATGCTGACATGGCAGTGTCCTCTGAACGTACACAGCGGGTGATGGCATGGCAGTGGGTTAGTGCTGATGTGGCCGGTGACAGTGTCAACTTAGTATGGATTGCAATGCAGTTTGCTGTGTTAGTAGGCATTGCTGGCTTGCAATGTTGACATGGCAAATGGGTGTGGACTACAATGCAGTCTTCTGTATCAGCAGTCATCAATGACAACATACATAGATGACTTGGCACAGTCTGATGCTGATGTGGCAGCAGCAGTGCTGACATGGTATCTTGTTGGTAAAAAAGCCAGATTGATAGGCTGCCATGCAGGTTGCTGTGTCAGCAGTCATGCTGAATTGACATAGGCAGGTGTTGACATGGCAATAGACAAATGCTGATGTGACAGGGTGTGTCAGGTGATTTAGATCGCTGACATGACAGTAGATCCAAATTTCATTATGTTAAATAGAAATATTCCTCGTAGAATAACATTAAAGATGAAATAAAACAAACAAATAGCATGTTAAGAAATTTAATCGGAACAGGAATTAGGACTAGATCAATCTATTGAATTTAATTTGAACATAAATATGTACCAAAATGAGTAGGATGAGATGCCTTCCTCGATCCTCTCTCGACTTTAAAGTGAAACTTAATAATCCTCGTTAAAGTGAGAAGTATAGATAAATAAGGATATTATGTGTCTAGAGTCGTTTCAATCTTTGATCAACAAACAACCCTTAATAAATCTCAACAAAAGATCTAAAATACCTTTTCAACTTGATAAGTTAACATTTGATTATTATTAGTTTGACTTCGTAAACTCGTAAGGAATTATCCACTTTGGATGTACCCAGATGATTTTACTCTTTCGGAGATATAATATATAATTAATCCGTTTAATGACATCATTATTTTTTTTGAATTTAAGAAAAATATTATTGATCAGTATGTATATTTGAATATTAGTAAGAGTATATTTATTATGTTGATCTTATATGTGAATGATATTTTGCTTGTTAGAAGCGATTTTGATTTATTATATAAAATTAATATATATTTTTTTAAGAATTTTTAGATGATTGATATAAATGAGGTAGTTTATGTTTTTAATATTGAGATATTAAAGGATAGATCTTAAGAATTACTATAATTGGCTCATAAAAAATATGTTGATAAAATTTTATAGAGATTTAGTATATAACTTTATTCGATTAATTATACATCTATTATTAAAGACGAAAAACTCAATCAAAACTAATCTTACCTATACATAAGTAGTTGATTGAAAGTCAATAGATAATATAATAACATAGAAACATCGAAAAGTTAAAAAGAAATCAATAAAATATCTATAGAGAACAAAAGATTATATACTCACGTTATTTTGATGTGATAGATATTATTTTATAAATTACCTCTAGAAAGTCAACATTAATATTTATATTCATGGACGAAGAGTGTTGTAATGGTATGATATTGATGACTCATACTAATAGTCAGATTTAATAAAATATTATTATATTTCTTGAACTTATTAACTTGTTTTAAAATTCATAATTATGTATAAAATAATTTTTAAATTTTTAATATTTAAATATATAAAATTATTTTTAAATAAATTTTATTTTATTTATTTTGATTTGATCAAGTAAGAGAATATTAGATTATGTGATCATATTTAATTATATAAGATATATTATAGATTTGATTGGATTTTGATTATGATTATTATCAAATTGAAATAACATCCACTTAAAATATGATTCATTAATAGATCATATATCTCTCGTAATTTCTTATCCTAATATTATACTCTTACCTATAAGTAGACATGATGCATATGTATGATAATATAATACAAAATAAGATTATATATTTATTCTTGTCTGTTTTTAGTTCTTATTTTGATAAAGGTTATGTAAAAGATAGAAAAAAGAAAAAAAGAAAATTTAATTCTATTTGTATATCGATATTAATGTGTTATGTGAATTGAATAGAGATAAATATTATTTTCATTTATAATTAATTGATTTCACAAGTTGATATTAAATTTATTTTATATAATAACATTGACTTTGTTATAAGAAACTCTTTCAAAGTTGGGAGGTGCATTTGATTAGGCACAATCTCTAGGATCACAATCTCTCCATTGAGCATGCAGGGGTGGGCGAATCAGGAACACCAATACTGTACTGTGCAAGTATACTCTGTATCTGAGTTTATTGATGCATGAATAAAGAAGAGTATATACACCCAAATACAGAAGCTTGCAGGGTAATATATGCAAAAGAACAATAATAAATAATGAAAATAACTAGAATTTCTGTTTTTGTCTACAATTTGATGTTTTAGATTGTTGCAATGGATTTCGTCTTTAATTTTACAATATTTGAAGTTGTAACAGTAAAATCTCAAAGCTGTAGGTATAAGCAGTTCATGCCCAAAAGGATATCTACAGCTGCATCTTCATGGCCTACAGAAAGAACACAGAAAACAGGAGACATACCACCGACAAAGCTGAAGTCTTTTATTTCTAGAAAACGTGTCTTCTTGATCTGATCTATGTGCGGAGAGCAACGAAAGCTTTTAACGCAGGCATCAATCGTCGAGCAAATTAAGCACCCTTCAACCTCCCTTGTGAACCAGAGAGAACCAAGTAGACGACACCAGAGACGAAGAAACTCACAAACCAGGCGTTGTTATAGGCTGCAACAAATGCTTCCCAAGTGCTTGCCAAAATGCCGACTTTATAGAGGAATCCCGGCAGTATGGGCAGTATGCCCGCTACCAGAGCCGCCATTGCTGCGACATTGAATCCTTTCTTATAGTAGTAAGGGCCTCGAGGATTCTCTGAGTACAACGCGCTGACATCCAATTCCATTCTCTTCACCAGGTAGTAATCGGCTAGAATTATCCCTCCAATTGGTCCCATGAGCGCTGAGTACCCGATCAACCAAGTGTAGACGAAGCTCTCGCTCGAGCTCAGCAGCCTCCAGGGCTGGAAGGCGATGCCCAGCAAAGCAGTCAAGAGAGCGCCACTCCGGAACGTGAAAGCCGACGGACTGAGATTTACGAGGGCGTTCGCCGGAGCGACCACGTTGGCGGCGATGTTCGTGGTGATGGTGGCGAGGCTGATGCCGAAGATGGCGACGATCGTCGTGGAAAGGCCTCCTATCTGGCCGAGGAGCCGGATGGGGTCGGAGATCACGCGGCCGAAGATGACCTCGGTGGCGGAGGTCACCGCCAACCCGAGGAAGGTGAAGGCGCCCATGAAGACGGGAAGGCCGGCCTGGCCGAGGATTTGGTCCTTCTGGCTGCGGGCATAGCGGGTGAAGTCCGGGATGTTGAGCGCCACCGTTGCCCAGAAGCTGATGTTGGCAGTGAGCGAGGGGAAGAAGATTTTCCGGAATTCTGCGGAGGACAGCCGACAAGGCGTCGAAAGCATCCGCCCGAAGCCGCCGGCCTTGACGTAGGCCCAGCAGAGGAGGGCTGAAGAGAGGATGATGAGGATCGGTGCCGAGTACTTCTCGAGCTCCCGAATGCCGTCCATCCCCCGTAAGATGATGCCCATTTGGGCCAGCCAAAAGATCAAGAAGCAGGAGAACTCCAGAGGCGAGGTGCCCAACCAAGGGACGACGGACAGGGCGGAGGCGGACTGCTTGAGGGCGGAGGGGAGGAGGAGGAAGATGGCCTCGCCGCCGATCCACGTCTCGATGCCGAACCAGCCGCAGCCGACGAGGGCGCGGAGGAGGGTGGGGACGTGGGCACCGCGGACGCCGAAGGCGGCGCGGGCGAGGACCGGGAAGGGGACGCCGTGCCGGGTGCCTGGGACGCCGGTGAGGACGAGGGGGAAGAGGACGATGAGGTTGGCGAGGACGACGGTGGCCACGCCCTGCCACCAGGCCATGCCGAGGTCGACGAGGCTGCCGGCGAGGTAGTAGGAGGGAACTCCCACGACGAGGCTAACCCAGAGGCTACCCATGTCCCAGGCGGTGAAGGTGCGGGCGGAGGCGGGGACGGGGGCAAGGTCGGATCCCCCGGCAGCGGCGGCATCTGGATCGGAAGCGGACTTGGGCACTATAGCAAGGAAAGAGGCAGGACGGACAGGCTCGGGGTTTAAGCGGAGGGAAGGGGTGGCGATGGAGGGAAAGCATCGGTGGTTGAGTTTGATAGGGAGGGAATTGGAGTGGTGGATTCTGGTGGCGGTGGTGATGGTCGCACCATACGAGCGGAAGGGGGGAGGAGGAAGGTTTGGACGGCGACGGATGCAATTGGATTCCATCTGAGGGGAGCGTTCGATGAGGCTGTGGAATCTTTTTGATAGGAATCGTGCGGGAGAAAACTGCGTGGAGGAATCCGTAGAAAATAGAGAAACGATGCCGACTGAGAGGTGCTTAGCGAGTGTGGGGTGGACTGCAGGTATAACGTGACGGTATGCTTCCGCGTCACCAAAGGAAAACATGACATCTCATAGACAGCAGCGTTGTAAGGTAGAAGTAAACGTCTCCTTATAATGCGCTGCAGGTTCACGACAAACCTCGGCTTTCGTCCCATACCGGGGAGGTAGATTACAAGAGCAGGATGGATGGTCCCTGGCTCGGCCGAGACAGGCGACTCATACACATTTTGAAGAGCATTAACACAATTTCGAAGGTTGAACAATTTATAACTTGTTGCAGCTGATATAAGACCACCACACCTGATCCTGAACGCCCACCGACGTTTCGTCTACGTGCCGCCTTCTCAAAGGCACAGCGGAGGCCACCGTCGCACTGTCCACACTTTCCATCGCAGAACATCACCATGGCTTCCACATCCATCTCCCCCTCCTTCGCATCCCTTCTTCCTCTTTCTTCTCCCTGTTTCCCAACCGTATCCACCCGCCGCCCTCCCATGCCCCATTGCCGTCCGCTCCTCGTCGGAAGAAAACCCCATCCCGTCTCCGCATCCTCTCCCAAGAACAACCCGGACAACACCACCACCAACGGCTCTTGGGTCAGCCCCGACTGGCTGACCTCCCTCGTGCGCTCCCTCGCCCTCGGCCGCGGCGACGATTCTGGCATTCCCGTCGCCAACGCCAAGCTGGAGGACGTATCCGACCTCCTCGGAGGCGCCCTCTTCCTGCCCCTCTTCAAGTTGATGCTCAAGTACGGTCCCGTCTACCGCCTCGCCGCCGGCCCCCGTGACTTCGTGGTCGTCAGTGACCCCGCCATCGCAAAGCACGTCCTCCGCAACTACGGAAAGTACGCCAAGGGTCTCGTCTCTGAGGTCTCCGAGTTCCTCTTTGGCTCTGGCTTCGCCGTGGCCGAAGGTCCCCTTTGGATGGTCAGTGCTCTCCGCTGCTATTCTTTTTTATATCGCAAGTGGATCTATGGGAAGTAAAAAGGAGACAACCGAGAATCAAGGAAGATAAAATTATGCAAGAACGGGAAAGAAAATTAAGAACGTGATTAACCAGAAAATTTACCAACAAATTAGGGGTACATGTGGATTTCGCTTCAAATGCATTCCTCACTCAAATATTTTCAGCTCTGTTCTTTTGGGTTTGTGGTGTCATATTGATTTGTTGTCAGTTTCACCCTAGGTATTGCATCAACAGGAGATTCAATTCTTCGAGCTAAAAGCCTTGATTTCATAGTCCATACTCCGTGGAATGTTTGCTCATTTGTTGACTTTCTTTTTTTCCTTTCCTTACCATGAGACTAATGCAGTCTTTTTGTTGTGTGTTCTTTTCATAAATGCAAGATTTTTATGATCTAAATTTTTTTCAACCGACCAATTTTTAGTTCTCATCCATGTTGCTCTCATGTTACTTTCTCCTTTATTTATCTCTTCCAAATACTGTTGGCAGGTAAGGCGCCGTGCAGTTGCCCCATCTCTCCACAAGAAGTATTTATCTATAATGGTTGATAAAGTTTTCTGTAGATGTGCTCAAAGATTAGTGAGCAAGCTTCAAACCTATGCCAAAAATGGTGAAGCAGTGAACATGGAGGAAAACTTTTCTCAATTAACATTAGATGTCATAGGCATGTCATTGTTCAACTACAATTTTGACTCGCTTACATCAGATAGTCCAGTTATCGATGCAGTTTACACTGCATTAAAAGAGGCAGAGGCCCGCTCCACTGACATCTTGCCATACTGGAAGGCAGGTTTTCTTGTACCTCTTTTATAATGCACATAAAGCTATATTCCATGATTGAGATATTCATAAAACAGTAGATTAAGGGAAAAAAAACCAGCATCCTTCACTTCATTCTTCTTTATTAATTGTCAAGGAAGAGTGTTGTTTATAAAGGCTTGTTATTTCTTTTATCATATTTTCTGTACCACATGTGATGAAGCTTTGGCCTCTTGCTAATTTATTTCGTAACCAAATATTTTGATTTTTTAAGAGTTGCATCAGTCTCGGTACATACTGGGCTGTACCAGGTGGTGTGCATGGTATTTTAGAATCTTGGCTCTAGTAATTCCCTCTTCTGTTTCTACCCTCTACCATTACCTGTAACTTGACATTAGTGCAATCGCATACTCATCCATCTCGGAGTTCTTGGTCCAGCTCGCTGTTTCCTAGTTACTGCCAAACTTAAGCAAGAAGGACAGCTAATGATGCTTACATGTATATATGATTCTTTAGGCTAACTGCCTAAGCATTTCAATCATACTAATTAAGGATATTTTAGAGATAATATATGAATTATGATATAGTATGTGCCAGCATTTTGAGCTGTGAAGGCTGTTGTAAGGTCAGTTTTCAGCATACACATATTATTGGCTTGTAGAATGCATGTCAGTTTTTCTCCTCAATTAGCTATCATTGTTATGGAGAAAACTGTGTCTAAGATGAATTTCTTGGGACTTGACAATCTACATTTTCCTACCTATGTTATGGAGTTTCATGCATATAGAAATTCATACATTAACCATTTCAGTTATGTATGATCAACATTTGCAAGGAAATTCAGTTATACTTGATGATATTGGTCAGATCTAAGAAATTTAGTTCTTGAAGAATCCAATGTTAATTAAACATTGATCAATGAGTATCTTTTTATCTGAACTATACTGGCAGTCAGAAGTATGTCTATTGCGGATTACTTATCCAAAAAAAGGTTTAACATGTTCTAATTCCTTCTTATGTGGAAAGTAATTGCTTACTGTTGCATTAACATGGTTAAGCTCCAACAAGGAAAAAAAGAGACTTGTTTCATTTCTCATGCTTCTTTATTTATCTAATTGCTTGTCTGAGAATATACAATTGTCAAATTTTATTGTACTGTTCGTGTAGCAGATCTCTTTTCTATGCAAGATCATACCCAGACAGGTAAAAGCTGAGAGAGCAGTTTCTGTAATCCGAAACACTGTTGAAGAACTCATTACAAAATGCAAAGAGATTGTAGAAGCTGAAGGTGAACAGATTGAAGGAGAAGAGTATGTAAATGAGACAGACCCTAGCATCCTTCGCTTTCTATTAGCCAGCCGTGAAGAGGTTTTTAATTCTCTTGGAGTCTATTTTCTGTGTTTATGGTGATATCTGGTGCTTCATTTTCTTTTACCTGGATAAACTTACTGGAACTCTTGCTTTCTGTTTTGTATTATTTCTTTTTTTATCATGTATCAATTCTTTCAGCTTAATAACTCTGTTATGCAGCTTTTGCTGGTATTTTATCCAACTTTATATGCCAAAAAATGATTATAAGAAATTACTTGCAGAGTGATGATCTATAATTTCCCTAGTTACTTTGCTTCATATTTGGACATAGGGAATTTTGTTCTTCATGTTGGAGGGCTAATTACCAATGAATATCAGAATTCGGCTGAATGGATGCTTTTTGATGATCTTATCTTTATTATGCCTTTGTAATCCTATATGCACCAAAATATCTTCTGGATGATTATGTTAAACTGTAAAAACTTTGATGCCTGTTTTGAGGGCTCCTATCCTGTTTGACAAACTCTTCATTTGACAAAGTCTAAAGCTTGTGCTCAAAATCACTCACTATACCTGCTCCCAAGGTTTGCCATACTGCAGCATACCGCTCAGTACAAGCGGTACGTACTTTATGAATAGAGGTTTGGTACGGGCAGTATATATTGGTACATCAGTACATGCCACCGTACCATGTGTTGGTATGTCAGTACAGTTCAATATATATAATATCAATAGTCGGTCGGTACATCAGTACGGACCGGTAAGGCGAACTATGCTTGCTACTTTTTGTCTTTAGAAAATTAAGCGAATCTTAGAGTGCATTTTTTTCTCCCTTTTGTTGTTATAGTAGTGGGTGCTGTTCACTTTGCATATTGTATTTCTTCATTTGTGTTTCTTTGATTTCTGGACTTGCTTTGGTGTAGAGTATAACTAATTTATCCTATGTGTATATTGATCTATGATCTCTCAAATAAAGCAAGAAAAACCTTGTAAAATCTTTGATGCAAATTAGGTATAGGCACACTGCTCTGGTACTGGACAGATCATATTATGCTCAAAATAGAAATGAGGCTAGGCTCAACTAGTACATAAACTATATCATCTTGTGGTTACACATCTGTGTACTCTCTCTATTCCATTGGAGGGATCACTGTCCGTTAAAAGATTGATCATGCTGCTGAGAAAGAGGCCAAGTGAAGGTCACAATTAGCCTTTTTAGGGGCTTCATTGGGTGATTCTGGTTATCTTCTCCCTGTTGTTTTCAAACTCTACTGCATCCCTGTTAAGTGGAAAGGAGGATTAGAACAAAGAAAGCTCCAGGATTTGAAAACGAAAAATTGGAGTCTTGTGATTTTCTTACTTGTCAAACGTTTGAAGAAGTTTACTACTCTGTGTATTAACTTTACTTTTACCTTGACTAACTTTCCTTTTTCACCTTGTTATGTGGAAGTACAGCTATGTTTCATAACTTGTGCTTAACAATGTATTATAGGTCTTGAGCTTATGTAGTGATTCAATTTTAATTCTCCAATAAACAAAATTAAATGTCTTTGCTCATACATTTCTTTTGACAATCACACCTAAGATTTTATTGTCTCATTGGCTTTTGACAGGTGATCCTAAATTTCTTGTTATATTCTATGCTTTAATATGTATCAAGATAATTGTCAGCTAGAATATGATTCATGGCCTTGGAACTGTTAACAGATTCTTCCTTGTGCTAACATGTTCTTTACCACCTCAATTTAGTCATCTGATAACCAAAGAAAGTTCTCATTTCTTATGTTTCTTTTTGTTGTATTTCAGGTTACAAGTGTACAACTGCGTGATGACCTTTTATCTATGTTGGTTGCTGGCCATGAAACAACAGGATCAGTATTGACATGGACTCTTTATCTTTTAAGTAAGGTATACTGGAATTTCTTCTCTTGCTTTTATGTAATCTTATAAGCAATGAAGCAAAAAAGTTGCATGCAGCAGAATGAAACTACGTTACTGAAGTTGCCATTACTTTTTCTTTATTCCCTATTTATGTTGATTGTTTCAAGGAAACTACTTTTTACATCAATTGGATTAAGTGATACTCTTCTAGTACACCTAATCGGCTAATCCATCCTCTTTTTCTGTATGATGATACTGGAATTTTCCTTTGTTTGTTATTTCTATTCCCCACAACATTGTCCATTGACACCTGGCAAAAGCAATCTCACAATATTATACTTATATTGTCTTGTTCATGCTTTATGAACATTAGCTTTTATCTTCTTTAACCTTTTGAATTCTTGAAAAGCTTTTGGGTTCTACATTAGGAGGATCCTCAACAAGATTTTTTATGCTTTTTGTTTTGCTTATAAAATTGTGCAGTGTCACTTTCCTGAAGATAGATCCTTGCTCTAAACATATGGGTATATGATGTGCTTTCCAACACAACTTCCAATTAAGACACTAACTCTCTTCTCATTATCTCTGTCTTACACTGCAGAAGCAATGACAATAAATATAACTGCCAACAAAAATATTTTCTGGGCAAGTATTAGAAAATCAAGTAAAATCTGTAGAAGATTAATTACTAAAAGAAAATGCCATGTACCAGAAGCTTGCATGTGTTTGTCTGGTAAAAATGGCCAATAGCAGTTCTAAACAACTGTACAGATAACTTGGATCTCAGACATTGTATTAATAAAGGGTTAGAAGAATGAGTGAATTTCCACACTCTAGAATGGGCTTGACATCTGTTGTATAATAATAATAGTTTATTTAACTCCAAGTTTTCCTGTTTGCATTATTGTGACTAACTTTGTTGGTTCAAATATACTGCTTGAGGACTTCCTGAATATAATAATAATAGTTTCCTCTTATGTTGTGCATTCTTGTATACATGCATTAAAGAAATTTGCTGATTTTGCTAATGTTATTGTGAATTTGGTGGTTATATCTTGGTTCTCATTGTTATGTTTCCAATAGTCCAATTAAGTCAATTATATTTTTTTCCAGATATGTTGACTCTTCAGCTTTGAATAATTGAAGGATTTCTCATCTCTGAAGAGGGCAAGACAAGAGGTTGACAATGTTCTACAAGGAAGACTTCCTAGATATGAAGATGTGAAAGAGCTGAAATACTTGATGAGATGCATACATGAATCATTGCGACTTTACCCTCACCCTCCAGTATGTTTCAATGTCTTTCTCTTTATTTTGTGGGTATACCTATTTGTCCAAAAATCTTCACTTTTTAAGATCCATAGGTGTTGATAAGGCGTGCTCAAGTTGATGATGTGCTTCCTGGAGATTATAAGGTCAATGCTGGTCAAGATATAATGATATCCGTGTATAATATACACCGGTCACCACAGGTATGCATTGGATTCCAATGTTGCTTATATCTCTTGTTATAAAAACTAGTGGGGGCATTTAATAACCATCAAGCTTTTATCTTTTATCAGCTTAGACTGTTTTTGGTACCTGTTGAGTTTCTTCTTTGGGCATTATATTGATAGTAGGGGGTTGTGATGATTGTGCTATGTAAAGATTACTGTATCTGTCTTATTGACGTACTGCTTGTGATGCCAACATTATCCCTATGATCGATCTATATCATGTTGGCATACATGTTGTAGCACAAGGTATGCTGCTGCTGATGGTGATCTTAAAGATTTAATCTGAAAGAAAGTTATGAAGCTATTATTGGAAAGAAGCATCCTTGTGTTAGAACACAGATAATCTCCCTTTTAATGATAAAATACTTGATGTTCCAAGTAGTCTCAATTAAATCTTTTGCTGGGTCTCACACTGCTGAGAATCAAGCCTTCCATCTTCCCTTAGATAATGGGTCAGTTTTAGATCCTGGAGAATTGGGGAAAATGGGTATCAATTTTTGTGGGATTTGGTTTTGATTCTAGTGAGATCCTGTTTTACCACTCTATCAAATATTTTTACTTTATAATAAAATATTTTGTATTTTCTGTGTTTCTTTCTTTGACTTGCTGAGTTGGATGCTAGATGTGCCTAAATCAGACTCTTGTGCACATGTCCATGCAACAACTGGTGGAGATTTCTAGAATTAGAACAGGTTCACTTATGTAGAGATCAAAATTTTTAAGCCTTTCCAAAGGGAAGGAGTACTATGAGGAGTTCACTTATATTGTCCGGGAAGGTTTATGAAAGAAAGTAGAGAGTAAAGGGAATATTCCAATAAACTTCTCTATAGTCATTTTGAGTTTGGGTGGCTAAATTAATCGATTTGACCATACACCAAGGTTTACTGTTCTATTATTGTGCTTTCATCTGAAGTTTCCTTTTGGTTATGAGATAAAGAATTGCCGTCTCAAGTATTATGCATCTGATGGTCTTGGATTGGCACTACATAAGATGTTCTGCTCCTGCATGCCATGTCTGTGTTGGTTTGCGTGCACCAAGTTTATATAGAGGTGTGGATCATGAAACTGTCTGTAGTTCCAAAAACCTGGCTATAACATGATTAGCAATGAGCAACATGGCCAGTATGGAAATTTCTGCCTAAGAAGCACAAACACGTGCTTTTGGTGGACGTGTCCATGTCTGACACATGTTGGACATGTATTCATTGTTGGCATGCCTAGACATGTGTTCGACACATATACAGCCATGCCTTTTTTATTTATTTTCATTTCTGTTTGTGGGATATGGCATTGCTCCCGCTTTGCTTCCACGTGCTTCGTCACATCGCCCTCACATGTAGTGCTGCATTCATGTGGCCCTCACGCGAAGGTCATCTACTTTGGATTTTTGCGTGGAGACGGATCGTTGGTGTTGTAGGGAAGGAAATCTAAAGAGAAATTTGGAGATCGTTGCAAGGAAACATATATTAATTATATTTGAAGATTGTTAAATATTATTTGATATACTCAATCTTTATTTTGGATACTTACGTTTAGATTATTTTAATTATTTTAACCTGTATGATGATATTTATTTGTTCACATTGCTGAGTTTGTAAAATTCAGGTATAAATACTATAAAACTCATATTAATTGAACATTATATATATTAAAAAATATTTATGTCCTTGCCATGTCCATGTCCTAATTTTTTTTTAAAATGACATGTTGCCATGTCCATGTCCCATGTCCATGCCTGTGCTGCTTAGATTTCTGCTTGAATGAATTGCTAATAAGTCTGCTAATCAGGGTAACTTTTTTGTTTTGAATGTCTTTTTTCTCCTCTTCAAAGTGAGGCTACCTTGCTTTTCACTTCCCTATTTGGGCTTTCTTGTATTGTATGTTGAGCTCCTTTTACTGAAGTGGCAGCATTTTACTTTGAAGACAGGGTCCCATGAGACTGACTTCACTTACCAAAGTTTAGAGAAACTGCTGCCTTTGGTAGATTTAATACTTATCATTCTTTGTTTATATTTTCTGTACTTTGTATTTTTGATTTGTCACCACAACATCATGATCTGCTTTTACCTTTGTTCTCCCTCTATCTGTTACAGTTTTTAGAAAATATAAAAGAGTTCTATATGTTAGACTACTTATGTGTTCATTTTACTTCATGCTCATGTTCACTTGTTAGGTTTGGGAGAAGGCAGAAGAATTTTGTCCAGAAAGATTCAATTTAGAAGGACCAATTCCAAATGAGACAAATACTGATTTCAGGTCTACCATTTGTCTATACTTCCTTGATGAACTTCATACGATCCAAAATAGCTAGTAAATTAACCTCATTGAGCCATATTAGCTACTCCAGCTTTGTCATGAGAACTGTCAAGTTGTTGCTGCTGATAGATCATTTCGTCATGGTTGTCTTTTGACTCTGTCAATGTCTGCTAGATTTATCCCTTTCAGTGGAGGACCACGTAAGTGTGTTGGTGATCAATTTGCTTTGCTGGAAGCAATCGTGGCTCTTGCCATCTTCCTGCAACATATGGAGTTTGAACTTGTTGCTGATCAAAAGATTAGCATGACAACTGGAGCAACTATTCATACAACTAATGTGAGGACCTGACAACCTTTCCTGCACATTTATTGCTTCATTAACCCTTATAGAGAAAATTCAATACAAATTTACTTTTAGTCAAACAGTATTGTGCCTATAATATGTAGTCTAAACTCTTTTACAAGTCAAAATTAAATGAAGTGCATATCCTCCAACAAAGAACTTATGATTTTACAAGTGTTCTTTTATCAATGAAAACCATCTCTTTTTCATTAAGATAAGTTTGGAAAACTTTCTTAATAGGAACACTCAACTGTACTTTCTGAATCGTAAAAGCTCAGTAAACCTGCTTTTGTGTAGGGCTTGTATATGACGCTAAGTCCAAGGAAAAAGCAGCATGATCATGGTCCATCCTTGAGGTAACTGATTATGCCAACATGTTGCATTACCTTTATTTCTGTAGCATCGTAAGATCAAGATTGTTATTGTTTTCTTTGTCTGTTTCACAAAGATAATTTGTTATTTTCATGTAAGTAAGCACTTCAGGGTAATGACAACTTATGTATAGATGAATAATTTCCTTAGATGTAGCGTGTCAGGTTGATGGCTTAAGCATGGGATTGAGGCTGGAAGACGGTACTCAGAAGTACTGGTCAACTCATGAAGAATTCCAATATGCTATGCTCAAATGTGGAAGCACACCAACACATTTTTTTGCCGGACAACATTGTCTGGTTCAACCATTGAGCTCAACTCACATGCAAAGATACTAAAATACCTGTATGCTGAACCTACCATTCTCAACCTTATGTTATTTCTTTCTGTAATGTGCATGGTCTGTGATGTGAAGAGGATGAATAATTGATGTGAAGGTTTTGGTAGTTTTGACTCTATTTGTGGATCTAAACGAGTGGGCCTGTAGAACAGGTTCAGGAAAATTGTAGCCAAGTCTGTCTACATGAACAATTAATCGTACAAGAAGAGCAATAATTACTTGGATGATCAAAATTATTATAAGCTAAACTAATGCATCTCGAGAAACATTCTCCCTTTTGTTCACTACATTTGGTTTGCCTTTTTTCTATTGCCAAATCAATCAGGACAAATTTACAACTTCTGCAGATATGTGCATAACTTGTCATGCATATGTAGGCATGTTCTTTTACTCAACTTGCCTATATTATTGCTGTGCATGTATTTAATAAAGGATAATTTGGTTATCATTAGTGTGACCCGTAGACTCATGAGGAATTATCAGTTTTATGTGATGGGTATATCCGTACGATTTTATCCGTTTTGATATATACGGGTACCTGCATGATTTTATCTTCCCGAAGCATGTGAATTCCAAAAGCCGTCTATGAGAATAAGAGAGGATTTCAAAAGATATCTCTGAGAGTAAGAGAGATATGATAGACTTATAAATATCATATAGGTATGTATATGTCATTATCGTATCTATGTTAAGACTGTCTAGAATTATCATACACTTTATAAAACTAAAATGTCATATTTTTTTGGTAAAAGTTGTCTGATTATTGCAGGAGTCCTTAGATCACAACTCGCTCTCATCACTGGTAAAAAAAAATCCCATTTCAGAAAAAGAAAAGAAAAGAAATGAACTTAGCTTTAAATTGATAAGAGTTTTGGAACCATAGCAACATCAGTGCCTATTTTTATTTTAGTTCAATGGATAAAACACCACAGTGTAATCAAACAAAATAATCTTCAATGATGCTCGTGTCATATCTTTTCAATGTTGTTTTAGTAATTTTGTAATAGTTATGAATACTCCATAAGAAATGAAACACGAAACGGATGATGATTCAATTTCACGTATTTTAAAGACCCGTAGTCGTTCTCGTTCAACAGATCATATCATTCGCCTCCACGAGCCCACCTCTCCCACGACCACCGCAACAGGCGGAGTTCGTGCGGACCGCAGGCGCTCCTCTCCTCCACCGACCGACGCGCGGAGACCACTCCCGACATGCCTCCTCCTCCACCACTCCCTTCGTTGACTCTTCCATCCTGCCTCTTCCATATCGTCCGACCGCAACCGATGACACCACAATGGCGACGCCGATCGCGGCCTAATTGTTCAATCCGCTCGACAACTCCATCATCGCCTACATTTTCATGGCTATCCCCTCCGTTTCCCTCGCGATACTGCTCCTCGCCCTCCGATTCCTCCTCGCGTGGGATCCCAGGGCGACCACCGTGACCGCCATCAGATCGGGCGGCCTCCCGCAGAAAGCTGGCGCCGCTGGCTCTGGCGCGAGCGATCGGCCCGAGTGCAACGGCCGCTGGATCTACATCCGCGAGCTGCCGAGCCGCTTCAACACCGACCTTCTCGCCACCTGCGACGACTTCCCCATCCTCTTCGAGATCCGGGAGCAGCCGGAGAAGAGCATCATCCCCTTCCTCGCGAACCATGGACTGGGGCCCCGCACCCACAACCGCTCCCGCTCCTGGTACCGCACCGAGCCCCTCTTCCTTGAGCTCTTCTTCCACCGCCGCATGCTCGAGTACCCCTGCCTCACCGCCGATCCCGTCGCCGCTGACGCGATCTTCGTCCCCTACTACACCGGCCTCGCCGCTCTCCCCTTCCTCTACTCCCCCGCCCAATGGAACTTCTCCGCCCTTCACGGCCGCGACCTCGCCAAATGGCTCATCCGCCGCGATCGGCCCGCCATCTGGTCCCGCTTCGGTGGTCACGACCACTTCCTCGCCGTTGCCGGCTTCGCCTCGGATTTCGACAACGACCCCGCTCAGACCCCACTATGGGGTACCGCCTTTCTCGGCCTACCCGAATTCTACAACCTCACCGTCTTCACCCTCGAGTCCCGCGCCTGGTCCCTGCAGGAGCATGCCGTCCCGCCCCCGACCTCCTTCCACCCCGCCAACCTCGCTCGCCTCGACGCCTGGCTCGCCCGCGCTCGCCGCTCCCGCCGTTCCACTCTAATGCTCTTTGCCGGCGGGGCCGCTCCCGGGAGCGGCCGACCCAACGTCGTCTCGAGCATCCACGCCGAGTGCGAGCTCCGCCGCGACCTCTGCGAACTCGTCGACTGCTCCGGGGGCGTCTGCATCCACGACCCCGCCCGTTTCATGCGCCCCATGCTCCGCGCGCGGTTCTGCCTCCAGCCGCCGGGCGAAACTCCGACGCGCCGGTCCACCTTCGACGGCATCCTCGCAGGGTGCATCCCGGTGTTCTTCGAGGAGGCATCGGCGGCGAGTCAGTTCGGGTGGCACCTACCGCGCCGCAGGTACGATGAGTTCTCCGTGCTGATACCCAAGGAGGAGGTGATGTTCGGTGGGCAGCGAATCGCGGACGTCCTAGAGGCGATACCCCCGGCGCGAGTGCGGCGGATGAGGGAGGCGGTGCTTGAGCTGGCGCCGGGCGTCATGTACCGGCGGCACGGTAGCTCGGCGGCGCTGCGGGCGAGGAAGGACGCCATCGATCTAGCCATCGAGGGGGCGCTGCGGCGGATCCAACGGCGTGTGCGGGCGATGCAACAGGGGAAGGATGCTCTCCTCCTGGTGGGTGACAATGAAGAGGAGTGGGATGAGTGACGTGGGTTTTGCTTTTGGCCACGTTTCTATATGGTGTAGGGTCCACTGCAGTTTTGGTTGATGTAAATTTCAACATTAATTGTAGATTTTATAGGGAAATTTAAGTGTTAATAGAAAGAAATGGATGTGTTATCCACTCGATTTGGAATCTACGATATAGAGGATTGAATTGATTTGATTTAAATAATAACATTTCAAATGTGGATTTTTTTTCCCGTAAATAGCGAATAGATTCTAAACTTGATCGTTCGAGGGTTATTCAACTCTTAAGAGGACTTCTACTTCGCCCAAGTCTTCCAATGAGTTGGGATATAGTCATTTTGCCATTTTTTTTTTTGTTCAGTAACATAGTAATATTTAAAAAATAGTCACATCAAATCAATTAAGTTAGCGATAAAAATTTACTATGAAAATATGTATATTATTGTTGCCTTGATGTTATCGATCAGGAATCGATACGATTCGATTCTATCCCAAAGGCATATAGTTGTTCAAATGGCTCTCGCGATAGTCAAGTGAGGGGGTGGTTGTTTGAGATGTATTGGTTGAGGTGGCTTGGAGGTTAGGCTGAGGTAGGTTTTAGTCTTCTCGAGGATCTTGCATAAAAGGTTAACGTCGAGAGAATTTCTCGACTTAATCCCTCCAATGATAAAATTAGTTCTTTATTGAGTGATAAAAGCAAGAGATTTAGAGTGAGAGGGTCTGGTCCTTGTTCAAGTATCAAATACTGATTTTTATACTTACGGAGTCGATGGAAGGAGGCTAAGGTTGGTAAGGACTACCCGTACCTCCTACAACGTGAGTTGACTTGTCTAGGCTCTTGTAGCATAGTATCAAGCTGTGCAATCCTGTGCTACGTGGAGCTCGCAAGGTGATGAGGGTAATAATTGCGATAAGACTCGCGCGACGTCAGTTGCCCCAGATGACGCCTCACGCCTCTATTGACCTGACAGCACCTGGTCAACATGGATCGGAACACGTACCAAGGCACATTAACACCCTGCTCAAGCTCGATCCCTCATGCCACGCCAGCATCAATGTCAGACGCTACCAGAAGTATGACCCTGCTCCCTACGGGCAGGCACATCAGGCAATGGTAATCCTCACTATAAAAACCCTCGCGCTCCGAGAAAGAGAGAGGGACGAGAGGCACACAAGAAGACACAACTCAGCTAAAAAAAACCCACTACGACTATCCACTAACTTGATCGTCGGAGGGGTCGGGCCGAGCTCCTCAACCTGACCTTTGTGCAGGTGCGAAGGCGGAGGTCACCCACTAAACACACAGGCGAGGAGTTCTTTCCCGGAGGGAATAGCGACCCCGTCCTGATCGGAACACCATAATCGACCGCGTCGGCCCCGAGACCACGGCTTAAAGTTGTTACACAAACACAAGGTACAACCAAGAGAGTGTCACCCATAATCTTGACCTTTTTCTATGTCATATGGGAGCCGAGCCTATCTTCCACGCTGACTCCATGGCAACTGTCAACCTGATTGTTGGTGTTAGAATATTCTCTATCATATATTAATTTATCTTTTGACAAATTCTTGTTGCATCAAAATTAATTTTAAATAATTAATTATGCCATCAAAAATTGACTTTTCACTTGTCTAACATTTTGTTCCTATTGTTGCTTTTATTGAAAAGTAAATGAATAATAAGTTGCTTTTAATTCGAAAATAATATTTTGCTGCTAAATCATCCGACACGCCGCTAAATCCTTATGACATAAATCTCTTCATCATTTTTCTAGAAATCAAGATTTTTTCTGACGAAATCATCCAATAAATAAGTACAAAATGAAGCCCTTTCCAATTTTCCAATCAGCAACTTCTCAAGTTCTTGGTGTTAGCAAAGGCCCAATTTCATCAGGTCTCAGAATGTCCAGCATCATCTGGCCCATTCCATATAATTATCTTAATAAAATAATTTTTTTAAAGAAAGTCATATTAATCATATGCCCAGCTGACATTATCGTATCCGGATTGTCTATATATATATATAGATATATAGATATAATGAATAAATTATAGTAAATATAATGTAGATATCAACTATAGGATCTGATATTTCAGATGGCATATTCCTGTGGCTGGGCTGAAGACAAGCCGGGAAAGGCTCATGCAAAGCAGTAGCCCACCCTTTCTTTTCCTCCATGGGACCCATCAAGCAGTCTTACATGCACGCTTTTGGCTTCTTTTCCATCTTCGTCCGCCCTCCTACGTTCGTCCCGCTTTGACCACTACCACCTCCTCCTCCTCCTCCTCCTCGTGTTCCCACCCAACCGCTGCTACGAAGCCCCCCCACCCTCCCAGAGCAGAGCAGACACCAGAGAGGAGGACGAGGAGGCGGGCGCAAAGCCTGACCCGCCCCTTCCTCTTTTTCGAATTAAAGCTGCCGCTGCGACTCTCTCGTCAAACAACGACAGTGGATCATCAAAACTTTGTCTTCATCCCACAAGTTGATTCCGAGTAAAACAAGAAACGCACAAGTCCTTTTGATTTCAACGATGCAAATGCAAACAAAACCCGAGGAGAGAGAGAGAGAGAGAGTGAGTGAGAGAGACGAGAGATATTGGCTCCGAAGTCGAACATGAATTTGACCCATGGATTGGTTTACAAAATCGGGTCAAAGATTTCACCTTACTTCCGCAATTTCCCCCCTTGTTTGGAAATTAGAACAACGGAGCTCGGACGGGCACCCCTTTCTTCCGACGGCTCGCCATCTCCGGCAAGGCCGCCCGGTCCCCACCGCGGCGGCCGGAGCCGGAGCCGGCGCCGGTCCGCTTCTTCCTCCGGGACGCGGCCTCGGACCCCGCGGCGACCGGCGTCGCCGCCGCCGCCCCTCCGCCACTGGAAGCCGAGGAGGTCGCGGAGGCGGACTCGAGGATGGAGTCGGGCGTCAGCTGCCCCTCGTCCAGCTCGCACGATAGCGGCAGGGACTCGCACTCACGCAGCTCCTTCCACAGCCCGCCCTCGCTCCGCAGCAGCTCCTTCACCTGTTCTCCATTAATTAACAGCCACAACAAACAAATTAAAGATCTCATTTCGATTACGCGTGCATGGTTTCCAATCTCACGATACCTTGCAGGAGAGGGAGCAGAAGAAGTAGGGGTCTTGGAGCGGGCGGTAGCAGGAGAGGCAGGCGTTTCCGGAGCCCCGGAACGGGCGGCTCGGCGGCCGCTCGTTCAGGAACACCACCTTCGCGCTGTTGGTGGTGTACGACTGCGAAGGCCAAAAACAACAACTCGGTCGATCGATAGAACAGCAGAATTGAATCTCGTCAACACCAAGTCTCTTCTTTGTGGACGTCCAAAGAAGAGCAAAATTGCATATTTTTCGTTAATTTTGTTGGGTTTCGATTTACCTGGACGGAAGAACAGTCGATCAATTTCTCCAAATCGTCAACTCGCACTACGTCGTGGTACACATACCTGCGAACCTACACGCCAAGCCCAACAAAAAACATCATCAGTGAGTGTGAAGATTGGATTTTTAGGTGACGCAGAGCAAAGAGAAATGAGTGGAGCGGGTGGAGTACCTGGAGGAGGCGGTGGGAGCGGTGAGGAGGAAGGCACTGAGGGCAGAAGCTAGAACAGCAGTCGAGGCAAAAGATGTTCTTCTCGTTCTTCTTCGACGTCTCGTGGATCATGCAAGGGTTGAAGAACTTCTCCCCCAGCATCGCCTCAAGCCAGCCCGGCATGCTGCTTGAATACCCCACCTGCTCCAAGAAATCAGACGGGAGAAGAGACCAAGTCCCAATCTTTCCCCCTCCCCAACCCACTACAGGAGAGATCGAACACGTACCATAATGCTCCCTAGGCTCCTCTTCGCAGCAGATGACCGGCCTTCAATGCGGATTAGGAAGAGTAGGAGTGGTGTGTCAGTGCGCTCGAGCAGCAGTAACTCGCCCCATCACGTTCGCCATGAGCTACAGGAGAGTGATACGACAGGAGAGTGGAGAGGCGGAGCGGAAAGCAGGGGATGGGGGAGACGGGGAGATGAGCAGGGAAAAGGAGACGTCGACCTGCGCTGGCCCCCTGGAGGAGCTCTGGCTGTGTTGTTGCCAAAGGAGAAGCAGGGGAGGATGGCCAAGCCTGCCTTCAATGGCGCAACCAAGAGGTTTATTATTATTATTGCCCTCCATTACTTCCCATCACCTCCACTGCCCTACCACCAATCACACCAGCAATAACCAGCAGCAGCAGCAATCAAACCCAAAACAAAACAAAACAAAAGAAAGGAAAAAAGATGTCTCTTTTATTATTTATTTATCAGCAGATGATCACTTCGAACTGAGGTGGAATACAAACAAATGGAAGCCATTGGAGATCCCCTATGCGAGCTCGGTGACAAGACCCGAGGCGGCCACTTCTCTCTCCGCCTCGGTAAAAGAACACAAGCCGCTGTTCTAAAACGACAGCGTTGGTGTGGTTGGGCGTTGGTACTGCTGTTCCCAGTCCCCAACGCACCCCCCTCTCCGCCTCTTCTTTTCTCATGCTCCATCCCATTCCATGCACATTTTTGTTGATCCAATTGACCAACTTCTCCTCGGACAACATGCATCTACCCTTCTTTTCTATCATCTTCCCCCCCTTTCGTTTCTCCTATTAATTGGTGAACAGAGCAGCAAGAAACATAAACCCTCACCACCATATTACTGTTCATCACCTTCACTAACTTGGATCCATGCTGCCTCAAGCTTCTGCCATCTTCTCACAACATTATCCTGCTGCTGTGGAATGTTATAGCAACAGTTCACCTTCTCATCATATTATTCTTCAATGTCCTTCAATTCCATCTTATCAGACGCGAGAAGTCTGCTCTAATAAATGAGATTGTCCCTTGCTTCCCAAGTTGCTCAGACCACTTGGTGTTAATTGTTCTCTCTACTCTCCTTTCTGTCAGAAGTATTCCAACATTTGTCAGCCTACTCCATGGAAGACCTACAAAGAGATCTACCGGATCTACACCACGCATAGGGTAGACTCTCTATGAACTCCACTTCTTTCATGGAAATTACGTCGAAACAACCTTTCAGTAATTCCCAGATTTTCCTCCAAAAGTTCTGCACCCATAACAAAATCTAGCAAAGAATTCCTCACACTCCCCGAACCATAGCAATTAGATCGGTGTACTGGAACAGTACAGCAGTGGATCTTGATACATTGTTAGGTGGTGATGAATCCAACCAAGCACTTGCTTGGTCTCCGAGAACCATTGCCTCCAATCATGCATGCTGTTGAACAACAGCTACAACAATGTCTTCCTCCCAAGACTTTCCGTCCAGTATGATTGATTTGAGATGCACAGGAGGTTGAAGAGAAGTACCATCAGAGTTTATATGATGATGATTTCAACGTCTAATTGCTACAGGAAATTGAAGCGAGTCGGAGAAGGGCGCTTTCGTCCTTGGAAACTCTGCAGGTGTTTGGGGGCATTGAGACGGGTAATTAATGTCGAGGTATGTGCGTAAATTAATTTACACCGCCGCGGTAAAGAAGAGGGAAACAGCTCACCTCCGGCTGTGGGAGGATTGAAAGAAGGTGAAAGAGTAGGCTGTGGAACACAACGTTACCTACTCCTCCACGAGAAAACAAGGCAACAAAACAAGGAAAAAGAAATCTTTGTCTGTGTACGTGGAACGAAACAAAAACTGCGGCCTGTCTCAGCTAAAGGGGTTGTGGGACCGACGAGGTTTTTACGGTCGGTACAGTGACGAGGCAGGTGCAGGCGTGGGTCTGTGAGGCCGAGGGAGACGGCCATTTTGGCAGGGTACGCGTAGGGTCTTTTTTTGCATGGGAAGCGTACCGTTTGGCATGAGATGTCATCAGGACCGTCCGTCGCGTCAGAATTCGGCGGGTGATGTCACCGGATCATGGTGTGGTCACGTCCCGGTGATCTGCGCGGGACAAAAAGGACGAGTGTTTTAACGGCGTCGTGATTCGCGTTTGCCTGCTTCGGGCGGGATGCACGCGGTGATCAAAATTGCAGCGGGTCCCGCGTGGACCGCTCGGTTTGACCCAATCGCCCGCAAATGTACGACATTACACGTGGAAAAAAAATGACAATAACTCTTAGATAAAATATATCTTAATATAATAATTCTGCAATTTCTTCTACTTTTATAATAATATACATTTATTCCCTCTAAGAAATATTATTCATGTAATTAGTACTCTTGGAAAGATAATAAACTTAAAGAGTGAGTTTGTGTTTGGATGGGTACGTATTGGATGAACAAATGCAAATAGTGCATCCCAATTAGAATAATGAACGAGACAAACTGATCGAGAGCGAAAAGACACAGAGGGAGAGAGTGCAAAGATGCGGTACGGACGGTCAAAGCATTGACCAATTTAATAACACTGTCGCTGTATATCGAGAGAGGGAGGGAGGGATGGTTTTTTATGACACGCCGGAGGGATGTGCCGTCCACATTCCTTGTCATGCGCCGGACGGTGTGCATGATCTCTACTGCTGTAGAGTGGTCCGCTTGGCTCTTTTTCCCAGACCACTGCGCTTCGTCCCCAGGGACCAACGCCATCAACGCACCATACGACGATTTCTGTAAGGTCACATCAGACCTAAAGAAGGAGAAGGAGAAGAAGAAGAAGAAGCCTTTCTTATTGCACTCGACGCAACCACATTACAGCTACTTCGATTCAGTTCGAGGAAAGCGGGCACGTCGATGTCTACTACGACGTGGAAGTAGCAGCTTTGAATTGGCTGGATCAACAAAACAACTGGAATCCATTAAACCTCCCTTCTCCTTGGTCGAGCGTTTAGTAGCAGATTGAACTTTCTGCTGCAACCAAGCGAGGGAATCCGGCGGCTGATGGAGTTGGTGTTAGTTTGGCAAGTCCCATAGTCCCACATCGGGAAAATCAGACTTGTTGTCTCGTCTTAGAACTATAAATAAGGGCCTGAGCTTTGATGTTAGACACACCACAAGAAGTACAGCAGGCATCACAAGAAAACCTGCTTATGGTTTGAAGTCTTCTTGTTTAGGAAGCTGAAGGTGTTTTATGGCCTAGGAACATTTCCTAAGGCATTTGTAAGTGTCCTTCTTTTATAGTAGTAATTTGCTCCTCTTTCTTCCGTGGATGTAGGTCAAAGTCAATTGATCGAATCACGTATATCTGGTGTTCTGGTATTTTGTTTGTTCTTGTCGCTTTATTCTTTCCGCTTTATTGTCTTTGTTGTGTTGCCAAAATTATCCTTTGGTAAATATCCTGGGGCTAGCTCTAACAAACTGGTATCAGAGCCTGGTTCTGGGATCTTTTGGCAACGATGACAATAACAAAGATTGTTGTCGAGAAATTCAACAGAAATGTCAACTTCGGCATGTGGCAACTCAAGATGGAGGCCATTCTGGTTCAAGACGGAGTTGATTTGGCACTTCAGGGTGCTGAGAACATTCCAGATGGTACGTCAAAGGAAGATCTTGCGGGTATGGATAAGAAGGCCCGATCCAGCATCATTCTAAACCTCTCTGACGAGGTTTTAC